TGCGATAACATCTCACAGGCAGAGGAGAATCTGTGGAGCAGGAGGCTTTCGAAGACACCATCTTTATCCAAACTACACTTCCTGATCACTAGAACTGGGCCGGCAATATGGTACACTCTAGTGGCTTCCAAGTGAGAACAATTTCTTCTAACCTACCACCCACAACAAAAAACACATACAAGTAACAATAGATGAAGTATTTATCACCAGCGACATAAGGTAAAATATTGTTGTCCCTACTTCTGAGATAGGGTAAATATAAGAGTAGGAAAAGTACATGAAATTTAATCTAATTTTATTTAAAATTCTACCACCAATACCGACATATGACAAGTCCTTACCGGCACAGGAATACTGCGAACTGGTATGCCACGAACTTTGAGCCAACCAAGTAAACAGCCCTACATGTACTATCTCCAAGTTATGCCTGCATAGAAACTAATTATAAGACAATCAAATAACCAAGTATCCTCCTCAGTCCAAGTCTGTAGCCTCTCTGGTTTGAATCCAACTAGTACTAGATGTAGCTAAAGGCCAATAAAAGACCAACCCTACCGGGTTCCTTATTTAAAAAACCTAAAAGCGCTACCACCCAATCAGAATAATATCATGCAATCCATATCTACTACAAGAGAAAACCAACAAACACACCAAACCTACAGATGATAAAATAGTAGGGAGAAGGTGATCAACATGTCCACCTCTCGTGCCCACATACCTGGCCATCAGCCCTAAGAACCCACTTTTTCAGTTGCCACCAAAGAGTGTACCACTGAGGAGGACCAGTATCTACTACCTGTACATCAAACAAACAACATAAACAAAAGAAATTCATGAAAGTAATAACAAACTGAAACAGCTAGTCAGACCTATCTCCCATAGGTAGTGCCATGCCTCCTCCTGCCATACCTATAGCTAAACCAAACACAACAAACAAATACTACAAGCTGTAGCATGTAACACCCAAATAAGTCTAACTTGATTGTGGCAACCCACTATCTGTGTAGGTGGCTGTCAATCCACAGGTCAGTCAGAAAGCTTTACAGCACTCAACAGCTTTACCTCATTAGGACAGCAGGCCGCAAGCACTTAATTCGACCATATTCAACCTGATGCAGGCCCAACTAGTACATGCAGTTGCCCGTCACCCCCCAATCAGCCCGTTTTAAGGGCCATACACCAGATACCATGAGACCCATCCAGCACCCAGTGTACCTCGGACAGATCTACTATCTAATAGCAATAGAACAGCCTATACCAGACCCCATTAGGTAGTTACTAGTTTTGCCCACACCAATAGAGTCCCACTCCCGATACTATATAGCTGAGATAGCTACCAGCTGAGACCACGAAAGACAACAGAGGAAGCACCAATACCAAAAGGTATGGACATCAGCCATACTAACCAATGCAGCCCACGAGAGGCCAAACCAAGCTGAGATTCTTAGCCCCCATTATTCAAAGACATTCCCACTGGTCTATCAATAGTCGCTGACGGAAAGATGGGCTAGAGGAATCCCCAATTGATGATACAGGAAGGGGGAGGGCAAATGAACGAAAGTAGACAAACAAAAGGTAGTCTCCACTTATAACAGATGAGGCTGCCAACTACAATCTACAATCAAACTACCCCAATGCACAGACACCACAAGTGTCTGGCAGCCAATTATCATACACTACCTCAGGCAACCACAAGAGCCATACCAGTGGGTAACATTTTTTAAGTGTCAAAGCTATTCCCACCAAAGCAAGGAGGAACCACCTGACTCAACCGCTACAATGCCGCAAGCACAAAAACTCCAATGGAATAGTGATAAACATCGCAGGATTCTAACTGTAGAAATATACAGTAAGGAGGAGGAATACAGTGAGTACCACTCTGCTACCTGAGTGATAATGGGGTCAGTATATTCAGTTGAGATATAGAACGATCATTCAGTAAACCCATAGATGATTTATCTCCCAAGAACTAAGAACTTTATTAAAATGCAATAAAAAATATGAGCTGGGCCAAAAAACGACACAGGTGATCCCCCTAAACACAAAGTTCAATCCCCCTAATCGAACACAAAACATACAAGTAGACGATAGACAGAAAGCTGTAGACCTTTTACTGAAAGGGGCACATACATGACTGTGATGAAAAGCTCACAGCGCCAGCATCATGAGATAACCAGCAAACAACAAAACAGTACAAACAAGTAATCTGCAACACAATCACCAACACTGATAGACTTAACACCAAGGACCTCAGAAACTACTTAGCGAACTCACATATCTTCTGCAGAACCTAAGATAAAGAAGACCATTATAGATGTGAAAGGAATGCTACTGAGGTGGAGTAATAGCAAGAATGAGAAAAGTGCTTGGGACAAAGTGTGAAGACCCTATCCTCCTTGGCCCTACCAGCCTCCTTATATCATGCTCTTCTCACCCCTAGTCATGTGACCCAAGGTGGTCACATGGGTGAAACCAACTCATAACAGACTAGTTATATAACCAAAGTGATCACATGTAAAAAACCCATGACCTTATGGCAAGGTTATATGCAAAATCTCATAAACCAATCATTACACAATAAACAAGTCATATGGCTCCAAGTGGTAACATGAGTAAAGCCCATGATCTTGTAACAAAGCCATCTGTGAAATATAAATCATATGCACAAGGCATTCCCGCAAGGTATACCTACATGGTACACCTACCAGATACACATCCCATGACTCATAATCAAGTCATGTGCGAAGCATAATAAATCATAAGATAACAAGTCATATGACCCAAATGAGTCATATGCATGAAACAATAACATACCTATGACTTATAATTATGAGTAATGTGAAAACCTTTTCCTCACTAAGCCGTGTTTGTGACACTTCACTTCTGTTCCAGATGAATAGCCATAGTGCAAACCATATCTAACCTTGGGGGAAACCCCTGATCATCTTGCTCCTCATACCATTTAACAATAGCCGACTCCTCTGCTGGGGTCAGGTGCTGTTGTTCTTGGTGCAATATCACTTGGCTATCATGGGTTCCTGCGATCTGCTGATATAGTATTCACTTGTTGACTTCAAATGCTTCCACAGCTTTGGCCACAGTTATTGGATTATCAATCAACCTGAGGAACTTGTGTACTTGCTGGAGGCATTCATCATACTCCGAGACTTTGTGCTTGTTAACCCGACCCATCTCGTTCGCATTTTTTGAGTTTTGTTTATCTTTGCACACAGGAGCGGGGTTGCCTCCCATAGACACCCTGTCTCATATTACGCGAAAATGATGTGACACATCCCGGTCTTGTGTCACACCACCGCCTTTTACGTTACTTTGTTGTTCCAAACTTGTGGGACATCATTGTGATAAGTTTGAGGGGGGATGAGAAGCGTGGGTTCCTGTACTTCGGGATTTTTGTCCTTTCTGTAAGCGGGGGTTTGTTTATCAGTACAAGACCCCAGTTCCATACGCGAAATTTCCCCCAAAACCGGACTTCGGCCAGTTTATGTCACGATGAACTTGTCCTCGCGAGGTGGAATTGATATAGAACCGCATTTACCTAACCCACAGATCACCCCCCAAAGTGTGCCGTCAGTTTATGAGAGGCGGATAACCAATATGGAGCACTGATTTAGAACTGCACTGGGATGACCCTCTCGTTATCATGCAGTGGGGTCCGCCGTCAAACTGTGACAATTTTTCCTGCACTGGCGATTACGTAAGCCTAACGGGAAAACTCGGTCTGGTCCCGCCACGAACGAGCGTTCATCTTTATCATCACCAAGCATCACCCGGTTTCTGCTTGGCGGACACTAGTCCCAAATTCCAATGGACCAAAGTCCGGACTCTGATGCCGGTCGTGATATTCTATCCTTGGGTATATGAGTTCGGGAACGTTTTGTTGGGTTTTTGTGGTACAAATATATATTCTCACCCGGCAGGCAGGCCCGGGTCAAATTTGATCTCGGTGAAGGAGGGGAGAATAGCGGAATGGGGGGGGTGGTAAGGCTTATCCGCCCGGCATTGGAGGGATGGTATAGGAAAAGGCTCTCGCAGCACCCTACTCTCGAGCCCCCCTATTTCTTACAAGATGTCAATCTACCAGTAATTCTCTATGGTTATTCCGTGAATATGGATGGTGCGTCATGTCCCGTCCCGCACAGAACGAGACCTATCGGTGTACAGAGTCCCTATATTGGACTTGCTATTATAAAAACCATTGTTCAAGCAATCCATGCGAATGCAATGACGCATAACTCCATACAGTATGTAACCCGATGGATAACACCACTTATACATACCTGGTCGCATAACTATAGTCCACCGGAGCAGCCGCAGTCTCATGTCAACTATAATGGCTAGGATATAATAACTCCCTAAAACGAACTATCACCAAAGATCACTGCGATGCAAGGATTTCCTCCGCCGCCCCCCCCCCCACAGTGTGCCGAATTCCGGGAATGCAGTGGGTTCCTGAGTCCGAAAAAGGGGAAAGAAGTTGCGGATCAAGAAGCGGCATAGCTACTTACCCAGCAGGGATGGGGAAACTCAAGCGGTTTGAATGGTGCATGACTTGGTATAGAAAGAAATAGCCTCGAGGGGGGTACTGCATGTAGATCAACGCCGACATGACCGCTGAACCTCGCCACCAAGAAAAAACGTAGGTTTTTGTAACCGGTGCTCCCGGGCGTGCGTGACGTATGGATCTTCAAGGGGGAGGGGTGGGGTTACTCTACTTCTCGAGATCGGTAAACGGGCACGATGTATCACCGTAGTCTAGCTTTTTGAACGGATACTTACCTGTGAGATTACATGCAGAAATGGGGCTCTAGGAAGCGAAGTTGGAGGGGGAGAGTAGGGTGGGAGGAGGATATCGTGAAATGGAATGCTATATTACCCGGTGCTACACACCCACTCTCGACACGCCACTTTTGTCACTTTATATAATATTATCCTCTCCTCTTAACCCCCCTCTTCTGTATTCAATCACCCCATCCATTCATCACCGTCAGTCCGTTTAGCCCTCCGACATCGAGAAAATGGCAAAGACCTGGCTGATAACTGGCGCATCCTCCGGCATCGGGCGAGAAATCTCCCTTGCAGCCCTTGCGCGCGGCGACACAGTCATCGCCACTAGTCGAACCCCAACGCGACTCGCCGACCTCTCCACACGAGGAGCCACAACCCTAAAACTAGACCTGACCTCCCCCCACTCCGAACTCGCATCGGTCGTAGCGCAAGCCCTAGCCCAGCACGAGAACATAGACATACTAGTAAATGTAGCAGGCTACCTTCTCGAAGGTGCGGTGGAGGAGACAGATGAGGGGGAGACGGACCGCCTATACAAGACCAACCTCTTCGGTCCCATGAACCTCGCGCGGGCACTCCTCCCGCACTTTCGCGCTCGCAGCAGCGGCGTCATCGCCAACGTCGCTGGCATAGGCGCCCTCAGGGGCGCGGCCGCCGCAGGGTACTTTTGCGGGAGCAAGGCGGCACTCAGGGTCGTTACCGAGGCCCTCAGGGCCGAAGTGGCGGCGTTCGGGATCGAGGTTTGCTGCGTCATGCTGGGGCATTTCAGGACCGCGTTCCTGGAGCATGGGCATCGGCTCGTAGCACAGGAGCGGATTGAGGAGTATGAGGGTGTGCTTGGCGGGATCAGGAGGGGGTTCAGCGCTTTTCACGGACACCAGCCAGGGGATCCGGTCAAGGCTTCCGCCGTTATTGTCCGGGTCTTGGCTGGGGACGCGGGACTTGGGGGGGTGCCCGGAGTGTTGCCTGTTGGGGGGGATGTGTTTGAGAAGATGGGGGAGGTTGAGGGCTTGAGAGAGGTGGCAGGGTATACGAATTACCAGGGGGAGGAGGGGCATTGACGGTGGCGTACGAGTATCATAGTTTTGCAATTTAGGAAAAATTGAATCTTGGCAGCCGGCTTTGTTGAGGACTTGTCGTTGAATAATCATGAAAACTGTAAATAATTGAGAATCGTCTCATTCACAGGTGCTGTAAGACGTCCAGAATTTCCTCCTTTGGATTGGGGCAGAAAGGAAACAGAATATTCCCCCGGAGTCCCCGGTTGGGACGGCTAAAAAGGGAAACACAACAACATTTACGTTATCACACTCGAGCAACTCTTCCCACACATGTAGGAATACCGTAGCACGAATCGCAAAATGCCATAGTGAATAGTAATAATCCCAAAAGCGGTAACAACCCCACCGATCCCCTTCCTCCCTCGCTAATCTACTCGAGCGAACTGGCACGACACCACACAACTACACAACCACACACAACTCGGACATAATCATTAGAGTTCCCATTTCCCATCGGCCACACACACCAACCACACCTACAGTACGGCTCGCAGAGCATTTTCCAGAAAAGTAGGAGATCCAGCTTGAACCCTTTTCGCGAAGCGGCGTTAACAGAAAATAACTACCGTGCCCGATCGACAAAAACAACACCCCCGCCGCCGTGGCCCCCCCCACTCGGCTAACTACTACCGAACACGTTTTTTTCCCCCTCGCCCCTTTGGGAGGGTTATGTGACGTACGGATATCAGTGCCCGTGGAGGAAAGTTTTACTCGGGTCCGTGGGTGGGGGCTTTTTTTCTCCTCTCCTTCCCCCCACACGCGGAGGCAAGCTGAAGCACTTGTACAGTACAGTACATTATCGGTACATTACTGCGCAGCTTTAGCACTGTACTCGTACTGTACATGCCCACACCACAGTGATGGATAGAGGCAACCTTGGTGGGGTACCGTAATTTCACTGGGTTGTAGGAATCGTTGTGGATGAGTTTTTACCATTTTGAGACGACGCAGCCGGTGTCGGTTCTCTCCCTCCCCTCCCTCACATTTCATTTTAAGGTTTTTGGTGCCTTCTTACGAGTATGAGTGGGGGTGGAAGTTTATACGGGGGATTTATCTATACGGTGGGATTTTAATGCGGAGAGCAAAGTTTCAAACTGTGCTGTACTCTATAGCACTTTAGCCCCATGTACAGTACTCGTACAGTATCATACAGTACTCTACAGTGATGAGCGGTTTTTGTAATTTTTCCTCTTTCACCAGCAATTGAACAGCAAAAATTCAAGCGCGCTTACCGCTACGAAAGAGACATAATCGAAAGAAGGGGAGGGAGTTGGAGAGAAACACAAAACGCCCTATCGCGAAATACTGGTGGATGGCTTCGCCCACATTGGTTGGAGATTTGCGTTTTTTTCATTCTTCATTCTTTCTAGAATCTCTGCAGTTGATAGCGTAAGCGCGGTACAGTACACTACAGTGCTGTACTCGTACAGTTATTGCCTGTCTGAATGGGTGATAGCTGGTGTCGGGAGATGAGGGGGTGTGTGTTCTACAGAAGGTTGTTTAAGCTTTCTTTTCTTTTCTTTTTCTTGTGAAGACATGGGGGCTTGCTTTGCTTGGGAACTTGTTCCGAAAGGATAGGCGGGGAAGGCAGTGATCGTCATGATATTGTTATAGGGTTCGGAAACCGGTGGAAGGTCGGAGTTTTTATGGACTTTCTTAACATTGCTGATTGGCTCACTTACACCCGAATCCGCCATCGGATGAGCTGCTGAGTAAGATAGACAAAATGCAGTGGAGATTCTCCTCTCTCTCTCTCTTTTTACATGACAATAACTTATTCTTCATATACCGCATGATTCAAAACTGCACAAACACTGGTGTTGAACCTCGACAGATTACAGAGACTCTTTTTCTTTTTTTTTTTTTGGAAACCCCCCCCCCGTTTTCCTAAAGTGCTCCAAGAGGAAGATGGGTATTTAGGCGTTGAGGCCCGGATGCGAGACAGAAATAACGAAAACCGTGACAGTTGGCGTAAGGTTACTATTCTTTATCCATACCAAAGGATTGAAATACTGGGACATCTCCCGGTGGGTTTAGTGACTACCGAGGAGTCGTGTGTATCAGCTTTGTGTTCGGGGAAGAGGCTTTGGGAGGGGCCAATGCTTACGTAAGCTTCTGAACAGCCTCGTGGTTAGGAATGTCCCCGTCCTTGAAGTAAAAATCCGTGACTCGAGTGCCCTCCGACCACCACGCCGTCTGCCAGCCATCGGTGCCCACGGAAAAGAAGGTATCGCCGGGGCCAAGTCTGAGAACCTCTCCCGACGGAACGGTGATCAGTCCTACCTGACATTAGTATAACCCACGCTGGTCGAAACGCACTGGGCTTACAAACCAGCGCCGGCGCTCATGAGGACCAAGCTAGGTTCCGGTGCCGGATGGGGCGGCATAAAAAACCCCTCGTGAAAGTCGTATTGGTAAGCCGCGTCGAAGGCACCCCATCCTACAAGACTCGCGCCCTCGATCCCACCCACTGCTGGCACAACGTTATCGATTTCCCAGCATTGCAGGATGTTGGTCGCCTTCCCTTTGGAGTCGAGTTCCTGCGTGATTGCTGGGAGCGTCATCTTGTGGGGGTCTTTGCTCGTTGGACAGCGGAGTTCGTAGTCTCGGGAGGTATAGTCCGCTTCGCGGAGGTGGTGGTGGGGGGAACCTTGGTACATGAAGGAGGGGGAGTGATGCACGAGCACGGCTGTGGCGCCGGATGCCAAGAGTGTGAGAAGGGGGGTGATCTTCATTTTGGGGTTAGGGTTATAGGGGTCTTGAATTGGGGAGCGAATTTTGATAGTAAGAGTGTTAGATGTGAGGGTTAATCAAGGATCAGTTGAGGAAGAGAGGTTGGTGTCTAAGCGGTGGTAGTGCTACGAGTGGTAGCGGCAATGAAGACCCAGGAGTTAGTGATGATGCCTTCCAACTAGGCCGTTATGGGGGTCTTTATATCTCTTCCACGACCGCTCCCACGCTCCCCGATCCCCCTCTAGAAAACACGCAAACTATCTTGAGCCAAGCTACTGGGTACACCAAGGCATACAGAGTGGAATAACAGGAAACTCCATCATCTCCGTCTTTCGTCTTGAATCTCTGCGCTTCCTATCACTAGATACATCAAAGGCCTACAACCGATAGGAGTCGACGTCATAACTCCTGCCGGCTCACCGATCCGCACGCTCACTTTGGGAGACGCGAGGTCGGGACTGGCAGACATCCGCTCTTAACTGGGTAGGTTGAAGAGGGTAGTTTGGAAATGACTGACACAATGCAGGCGGACCAACAAGCCAACCGAGCTGCTCTGCCCCGCTCGCGTGCATATGTTTAGCGGTATCGGTATGGGATGGGTGGGGCGTAACCCTGTTTCCCATACACGAACTGCTGTTTTCGAACGCATTTTCTCACGGGGGTCGGGGGGGGAGGAGCTTCGACATGGTGCGCGGGTTGGGGGTTGCCGTACTGCCGTATTTTGTGTTGCTTCATGGGACGGTTATCGAATGGGCAGGACCTGTGTGTGCCTGTGACCTTTTTCCACTTGGTGAACTTGCTCTTCATTAACTTGCTTTCTTGATGGAGTTGGAAATCTTACGGAGATTATTGTGGGGTGGGGATAGCGGAATTACGGTCACTAGGGGGGCGTGTTGGTGAGAGGAAATTAAACTTTGACGGGGATTATACAGTGCTCCGGTGAGGGAGCTGCGCAAGTGGGAGGATGTGTGCAGCAGGGCCGTTCGGGAGTCAAAGAAAAACTCCGTTTCGCCGAGAATTTTATCTGGTGATAATGCGCTCCCGGGGGGATTCGGACTTCCGAATGATATAATTGAGGAATTGGGAAAGTGGCGAGAGAGGTTGAAGCGATTTAGGTTCTTGTGTTGATTGCTTAGTATGGTTGCTGGTGGGGTAGCGATGGACTGTCCAGTGAACCTTGTCAATTGAACCACGTTAGTTATATTGATTGTCGGTAGGGAGTGCAGTGCTGCCGAGAGTGAGTGCGGTCAGGTGTGGTTGCGATTGAAGACTTTCTGAGGGGTTTGTATTGCAACTTCGCTACCCACCTAAAAAAGAAGGCTGGAGTGGATAGTGGACTATTACCATTACATCTCCAATCGCATAAATTTCCTATCCAACCGGTGTATCAGCTACCGTAGCAAAGTATCTCCAGCAGAAATCAATAACGTCGCCATCAAAAGACCCTTTTCACCCACCTTGAGATGTGCCGGACAGATCCGAACAGGTGTCTGCGGACCCTTTCTTCATAACATCACCGTCCCAATCACCGGTAAATTAAGCGCCACTGGGTGGTAGGGTGGTAGAGTGGTTGGTGTATGGAGAAGAGGAAGGTCCCAGGAATTATTACCAATCGTCGATCCCTTACCAGCCACCATAGATGAAAAGCCCCTTTTCCGTGGCGCATCGACATGGAGCGTAAGTGAAGATGACACCAGTGTCATGGTGTCAGGGCATCAGGTGTGGGTGGGGGGCACCAGTGGGTATAGTACGATATCGGGGGGGGCCCAAACCGAGAATGTTTATCGGTCTTGATAATATGGAGTTGTCATCCGGTCCGGACCTAGGACCCACGTCAATTCACTGCCAAGACTTCCGAGACTGAAAAGTCAGGTCAGCACCACACCATTCTGCCCTCGAGTAAAAGTACCGAGCATCAATGGTTAGATTGGGATCGGCGGGATCGCATGTCTACCGCGTTGAATGCCTGGTTTGTTGTTGGTTGAGATTAACGAGCGGAAGCGTTCTTCATTGTACTCGTACTGTACGACCTACGAGTACCGCACATTACGAGGCATTGACAACCAGGTACAGTACCGTACTGTACCTGTAGACAAATTTAAAATTTAACAAGGCGCAGCTTTTTTATATTCTGTTGACAAGCAATATCGCCTGTTTCCTACAAGCTGAATCAACTGGTTCAACCTACAACAGGGTTTAGTTGTTATAATCTATCTCGCTGAACGCTCCATAATGTATCATACCGTGGTTAGACTTGGCACCGGCTTGGCAGTCGTGGCTCACCAATTGACTAGATCCCCGGAATTTGGGTTAGCGCTGGTCGAATGGTGTGCCAAGCATTTCCAACCGATCGGCGGGCCCAAGCCGCTCCCGCTACTGTACCGGGTTACTCGGATTTTCCAATCTATCCCCCATCGCGACCACCTGGCTCTGGCTTCGGCACGCGAGGCCCGGTAAAATAATATTGCAGCGTTCCGCATTGCAGACAGGCACAGGCACAGTGCCGCTGTCGCTCCCCTACAATCGTTTGGCGAATTTTCCAAGAATCCCTCGCACTTCGACTCCCGGAGATTGGGGCTCTGCTACGGTACGCAGGGATAGAGACAAATCATGACATGTTGGATTCTGGGAGAAGTCTCGTGTGTGGGGAAGAATAGCTTTCCCGGTAGGATGCTGTGCCAGGTTTACTCTATCCAATCACTACACACCATGGCTTGAGCTGACGTCGCGGACACAGTAGTGTTCGAACATCTTTCCCCAACACGCTGCCGATCGTGACAATGTTTAGGAATTGCCCACTCAGGTTTCTTAGGCCCGAATCACACAAGTCTAGCCACCTCGGAATGTCTGCTGAGCCTAGCGACAGACCATAGGAGAGAGGCAGCGATGAGAGTACAAACCACACATTTAGCATGGTCTGGTCTCCCTAGCCAATTTCCTCCCCCCCTCCACTACCGCTCACCATCATCGGTGGGGGCAAAGGGGACAATATGGCGTGAAAAAGAAAAAGAAGCTTTTACCGTTTCTTCCGTCTCACGGGCCGAATGCCGTTCGAGTACATGGAATCGTTATATAAAGAAGCGTGTTTCTCTTGACTTCCCTATTCCCATCATCCTTCCTATCCTCCACACTTCAAACACATCCGTTAATACGCCGGCCACTTCCTACAAATGGCTTTTCAAAACTTTGTCAAAACGCTCGCTGCGTTGGGCGCCCTCTATGGGGTTAATGTTGCCGCACTCCCGACCTCGAACTGCGTGAGTTTCCTTTTCTGATAGTTTCTTTTGCCGGCTTCGGTGCTGATGCTGACGACGGCGATGATGATTTGCAGTGCTCTCTCTTGGAAGCTTCCCTCCCTGCTAGGATCATCAGCATTGGAACTGCCAATTACACTACGGTGAATCATGATTATTGGTGTATGTTGGCCGCATTCCGGGGTTACATCTTGATTCTCTGACTTGGCGAATATAGCATCCACTACCGTCCTTTCTCCCGGTTGCATCTTCTCCCCAACTAGTCCGCAGGAAGTGGCCCAGGCTGTGAAACTCTTCACTGACAACCAATGCAAGTTCGCTGTCCGGGGAGGAGGCCATTCTGCCGTTCCCGGTGCGGCCAACACCAACGACGGCGTTCTCATCGTCACCGAAGGCCTCAACGAGCATACCCTCACCAACGAAAACTCCGCCTGGATCGGTGCCGGAAACACCTGGGGTCCCCTCTACGAGTTCCTAGGACCTTACCACAAAGCCGTCGTCGCCGGCCGTTACTACCCCGTTGGGACTGGATTGCTCCTGGGTGCCGGTCTGTCCTTCTTCGGAAACGAGCTTGGACTCGCCATCGATAATGTCAAGACTTACGAAGTCGTCTTGTACAATGGCACCATTGTTCATGCGAGTGCTGCCTCTCATCCAGATCTTCACCGTGCTCTTAAGGGTGGTGGTGACAACTTTGGTGTCATCACCAGGTACGAGCTCATGACCAATAACCTTCCTGACTGGATTTGGGGTGGTATGGTTTACTATAACCAGTCCCAGCTCTCCCTTGTGGAGGACGTCGTCTACGACTACCATGTCGACAAGGCGGTCCACGATGTGAAGACCCACGTTCTCCCGCAATACGGCTTCAACGGGACCACCAATGAGACCAGTAACTTCTCCCCCATATTTTACAACGGTGCCCTAAATTCTACCCCCGCTGCTCTCCAACCCTGGCTCGATGCTCAGCCATATAAAAACACCATGCGCCAGGCCCAGATGGTCGACCTCGCGCGTGAATTCAACGCCGGGTTCGGGTATGGACTTGTGCAGGTGCAGAGGACTTTCACTATCTACGCGGATAAGCAGTTCTTCCACGACGTGTGGTATCAATTCCAGGTCTGGCTTCAGGGATACAAACACATTCCCGGCTTCTACGGGCTACACTGTAATATGCCCGTCACCCCTAATGCCGTTCAGGAGGGTATTCTCAAGGGCAGAAATGTTCTTGGGATGGAAGGTGCTGGAGACCGGACTTTGTCGAGTATTGCACCCCCGCCTCCCCCTCTTTTCTGCTCCTCTCTTGGGCTGGTACTAATGTTTGACAGTCTTGTACTTTGGTTTGACTTTCGATAACCTCTCCGACACTGGAGCTGTCTTCCCAGCCTTTGCTAATTTCGTCGAGTCGATGATCCACCTCGCTGAACAGCGCGGTGTTCGCCACCCATACATGTAAGTACCTTGCCTCCCACACCACTATTTCCTCTGCTAATATCCCACTCCATCGCAGCATGTGGTCCTACGCTGGCCATGACCAAAAGGTCATCGAAAGCTACGGCGAGGACAACAATGAGTTCCTCCGCCGCGTCAAGGAGGATTATGACCCCGCTGGCACCTTTACGAACTTGGTCACGGGAGGATTCAAGCTTCCCGCTGCTGGATATTAGAGTTAGATCTCCTTTATAGACTGGTTGTAGTGGATTTTGGGTTGGGGTTGCTTATGGGGTGCATGTGCAGAGCTTTCTTCAGTGTTTCCGTTCTCGAAGGATTAGCAGTGGGTTAGCTGCTATGACTTTGATGATTACCCATTTCTTTCCATTTTTTCTTTCCGTCATCGGGATTTTTGGGTGTTTGCTCGGGGGGGAGGGGGGGCAGCAGGGTTGTTGAATTGGTCATTATCTAAATTAAACCAACCGCGTTCCCAGTTTGTTTCATCGGTGATTGCAGTGCCTCTTTTTGTTCCTTTCTCCTGTCACTCGGTAAACCATTGTCGCTCGAGCACGGGGTTGCAACTACAGTGAAATCTCCTCCAGCTCTTTATGAAACTGGATCTCTTGGGAGTGGCTGGCGACGGAAGATAGGGAATAGGTTTGGCAGAGAGGGAATGATATGGATTGAAGATAGGGGGGTTTTCACAATAAGAGTATTTGGTAAGGGCCTAAAGGTCGAAACATGTTTGGATTACTTTTCTACCTTAATTCAGACACATTCTCCGGGGAAAGATAACGCGAAGAGTTTGTTTCACTCCAACAAATCCTAGAATTTAGGGGCATTCACGGCCCAGAAAGGGGAAATAATAGAAGGCTAACTAGATCTTAGAAGGGAAAAGCTCATTGAACAAAGCCCCATCTTCGAACAAGGGACAGAAATAGCGGGGTCCTGGAAATATGGGAAGGTAGAGTTAACGGAGGCTTCACCCTACGTTCTGTACATACTCTGTGTAGGCCGGAATCACGGGCTCTCACTCATCGTTATCAGTACCCGTAGTCTTGTGGGTCAAAGCTAGTAGGTCTGAGATGGGGAACCGAAGGGAGGTTGAAGACCTGTGAGAAACGAGAGCGGTGGGAATGTAGACGGAGTTGACTGGGAGAAAGCAATGATTCCCCTTCTCAGACTTTCTGTTGTGCTTGTGATCGCAGTACATACGCCAAGGAGAGGTACCGATATACGGCTATCGGAGGAGCAATTTGCCGTGCTTAATATATTTCCGTCACTTTGAAGCAATATCTTAAACGCGGACTATAGTGCGGTTACTTTGCCTTATTTACCGAAAATCGGGGATGCCTTACCACTTACTTTAGACAAAGAGTGCTAGGAAACCGGCCTAAACTAGTGATTCTCTGACGGTGTGATATCACGACTGGGGGTTAGTGCATCCGGGTTTCGGTGGGGGGGAGGTATAAAAGGGCTCCGGAAATACAACTGACTCTAACGGAACAAGCTATTACGTCAAAGCATGACCTAGTGATATCTCATGTCCCCTCGCAACCCCTAGGGCCCTGGTCCTGTACTGAGTGGGGGAAAAGGGAAAAACAAACTAAACTGAATCCCACGTATATCTATCTATCCATGAAATATCCGGTCCCCATAAAAATGAAGTAAAGAAACCCTCTTAAACACCAAAGTAAAAAATATGAAATAAGAATTAAAAATAGTTGGAAGGTCAGTGGGCGAAAAGAGGTGCTGAAGGTTTGTTTAAATTTCCGAGGAGGGATATCAAGGGTTTCTCCACGCTAGCAATTGTTCAGGAATGTGCTATTGGTTCTTCATTAGAGTTGGAGGCAGAGGGCATAATCGCTCCGGCCTGAATCCTAGAGTATATCTAGGAAATATCTTTAACGGTGATCATGTTTAATGTGGCTTAGGAAAAATAGAGAAGAAAAAGTCCGCGATGAGGATGCTTGGAACACGGGGAATTATCCGGGTAGGATGGAGGGTTACTCTATTATTCTCTCTTTAGCCATGTCTACAGTGTTCCCATATATCACTCTAAGTGCTATTATACTAGCCTCTGGAAATACTTTGGTAGACCATTCTCCGCAGAGTTCGGCAAGACAAATTACGACAAATGTTAACGATAAGCCCAGGGGTGTATTCGGCGGTGGCTACCGAAGAGGATATCGCTGCCACTACCAGGGAACTCACTTGTCAACGAGGGAAGGGATGTGAACATTATGGATATGGCTGTATATTGCACGGTTTCATACATAATATCCTGTATAAAAATCATTTCCGCATAACCAAGGGTTACCCGGCTGACCACCGCAGAGGAAGAGCAGACACTGGGGCAGCATAGGTGTTTCCTTTCGAGCAACAGGATTTGAGGCCTCACATTTCTTAGGAAGTAGAGAACGGTACAGATGGGGCTCACTCGTGAGACATATCGTGTTGTGGAGTCATTGCCAAAGGGAAGATTCCATTCTTTGCTCGCGGAGACTAGGTCATAATGACGAGATAACATTATCGGTGTTCAAATTCGGATAGGTCGACACTCAATTGGGGATAGCGGTGCAAGATTCCAGACAAATCGTGAACTCAGTTCCTCAAAATATGAATGGCTACCCTCGTCTGGCCAAGCCAGGACTGGCCTATTTAATGAGCCATTCCACGGAGTTTGTTTGCTTCCACCGTCACCAACCCTCGAAGTTTGTTTGCTACAATATTCGCACAAAGTTTGTTTGCTTCAACCTTCACCGAACCTAAAGCCCATCAGATTAATTCAATATTCCGATATCTTTATTCATCTCAGCACTTTTCTCTCCTTCATAACTCCTTATTTGACTTTTTGAGTCTTTCCTCTTTCCTACGTTGGACCGGTGATTTGGTTTCTTGACCTTGTCATCAACGATGGCGGAATACTGTGTTTCTCTCAAGTCCTGCATGGGAAAAAAATCTAAAGCCCGGGTCGGTACTGCTGTTGCTACCCATAAACCATCAACCTCGGCACCGCCGCCTACTGCGGGGGGTTCGGGTAGCGATGAGTCCCAATATAAAGTGGCTGTGAAGTTTGCCGATATACAAGGGGATCATAATAGTCCTTTCTATTCCGTGAAAAGATTTGAAGACCTAGGACTGTAAGTATAAATCTGCCTCATCCCCCCATAATTGGCGGGGTGTTTGCACTTTGGAATTTATTTGTGTTTGCTTGCTCCCGGTTATTGTTCCTATTTATATTCCCGCGCGGTGCTGACAATTTGCATTATTATATTGCAGTTCGAAGGAGATTCTTGAGGGCATTTATTTCATGAACTTTAAGAAGCCGTCAAAGATCCAAGAGCGAGCACTTCCGCTCCTCTTATCTGACCCCCCAAAAATATGATTGGCCAATCACAATCTGGGACCGGGAAAACCGCGGCGTTCGTTTTGTCCATGTTGGCTCGTGTTGACATGTCGGTTAATGATGTTCAAGCTCTCTGTTTGGCACCAACTCGCGAACTCGCCAGACAAATTCTGAGCGTTGTTCAAACAATGGGTCAATTTACCAACATCAAAACTCAGTTGGCTATCCCGAATATGGTCCCACGTGGTCAGCGGATCGATGCACATATTGTTGTTGGGACACCTGGTCCGGTCCTTGACTTGATTCGTCGAAAGGAATTGGCCGTAGAATATCTTAAGGTTCTTGTACTCGATGAGGCAGATAATATGCTTGATCTACAAGGACTTGGAGAACAGTGTCTCAGTGTGAAACGGTTAGATCCCACCTTTTTATGCATTATAAGAACTAACTGGTCATGAAGGGCTAATATCTTCTTCATCTAGGAATATACCCTCCAACACCTAGATCGCCTTATTCTCAGCAACCTTTCCTCACCAGGTTGTTAAATACGCCAACAGATTTGCTCCAAATGCAAATCAGATCTCCTTAAAGCATGAAGAGCTTACCCAGGAGGGGATAAAGCAGCTCTGTATGGTCGGTGACAGCCAAGTGGACAAATATCGGAAATTGATTGACCTCTATCATATTTTGACGATTGGGTCTTCAGTCATATTCGTGCAGGTAATGGAACTAAGGATAACCACATTTCGTAGTTGTGAAAGCTGATCTGTTGGGGTAGAAACGCGACACAGCATACGAGATTCAGAGGCGAATGGAAGCGGATGGGCACAAGGTTGCTACCCTCCACAGTGCAGAGGAAGGCCCGGATCGGGACAAGGTCGTCCGTGCTTTCCGTTCTGGAAAATCCAAAGTCCTAATCGCTACCGATTTGTTGGCGCGCGGCATCGATGTGGCCACCGTCTCGATGGTGGTCAATTACAGCCTCCCTCTCCGTAACAACCGCCGGTTGGACCCGGTCACGTATTTTCACCGTATCGGACGCACTGGGCGATTCGGACGTGTGGGTGTGGCGATCACGTTCGCTCATGACAAGCAGAGCCTGAGCGAGGTGGGGGAGATATCAAATCACTTTGGTGTCTGTATTACCCGGGTTCCGACCCATGACATTGAAGTATGTTCCTTCTAGATATCTGGAACTTGGTTCGCAATACTAATCCATTGATGGTAGGAGGTTGAGACGATAGTTAATAGTGTTCTTAAGAACCGGGAAGTTGGTGGGACGAAGCGGTAATGGAGAGGTATGTACATTCCACATTTCAATAACTTGGTTAGCATTACTAATTGATTGTCAGTAGGAGGTTGAGGTAATAGTCAACAGTGTTCCCAAGAACAAGAAGGTTTGTGGAAGGAAGCGGTGATGGAGAGGTATGTTCCTTCCACATTTCTAGAACCTGATTTACAATACTGAGTTATGATTCCTAGAATCATGATAGAATCGTGGTGGAAGTTTTGCAGGAGTTAATAGTAATGTGGATTAATCCTTAATGGGTACTGGTTGAGAGGAGTTTATATGAATTGACAAGTGTTGAGAGAGTGTGCGGAATCATTGATCAGATTCGTGTGCGCAGCCAAATGTTACCATTTGGATAACCTCCATCAGTAAACCTTACCCGGGAGGAAAGTAGCGGCATATCTCCATGTAAGATGTCAAACCAAAGGGGTTTGCACACTTACACCCGTAGTTAATTCCCTCATTACAATCCAGTGGTTTGGGTATCACTTGAGCAATTGTGAGGGGCATTACTTCCCACCACCAACACCTTCTTTGTATGTAATAGAAAAAAAGACCTAGAACGACTAAACAGGGATAAAGTGGCATATTCATTCTAAATTTCTGCAACTAGGTTCACAATACTCATTGACTGTTGGTAGGGGGTTAAAGAAATCTTCAATGAAGTTGCCGCGCTTGGGAGAGCTGTTGCGGCAAATTCTCGGTGGGTTTTTGGGTGCGGCAGGAGATGAGAAAATATAATATCATACAATCTGGCTATCTACGATGGCCGAAAGTTAGGCGGTAGTGTAGTATGATATTGCTGAGGGTCTTCAGCATAACCAAAGTTTTGAAGTTTTGCATTCACGTCGTTTTGTTCCCATTAACATTTTTTTAAGTTTCTTATAAATGGATCTGAAAACCCCATGTTTTCCTCTGATACATATATACAGGACTCATTTGGGTCAAAAGATTTCTGCCGATTCCCGTTTCGCCCAAAAACCTTCAACATTCACCGTCCTTCGACGCCTTTCAGAATATATCGTATCATATGCGATGTAGAAACTGAATATCACCGGGAAACCGGATGGCTCAAAGGCTGAGTCAGCACACGATGAAACCGTGAAAATAGATAACACCTATTGTATACAGATACAACAACTCATCAGTATCCTTTGGACAACCAAATATGGCTCGGATAAAGCCCAGAAAGCTGTCAAAATGCGAGCGGGAGGAGCGTATCGGGACAGCCTTGGTGAAAAGACAGGAGGTAGGAACACCATGGGGGACACTATAGCTTGAGTATGGGATTGCTGGGTTGACGCTGCACGATCGCTGCAGGGGATCTAAGAATCGGTGTGATGCTGATGTTCATCAACAAAAACTGCTCCCAATGGAGGAAAAGATTTTGGAAGAATGGTGTAAACGTCTAGATGATTGGGGTTATCTGCCCAGAATGGATCACTAGTGTGGCATGGCCACCACCTTAGCAGAGCAGCGAGCCGAGTGAGAGCGGGGTCTCGAACTAGCAGTTCTTGGAAAGCATGGGATGACGAGGTTTCTGGACCGCCATCCGGAGGTAGTAGCAAAGTTTAATACACAAATCGATTGGCAAAGAGTCTTCGTCAACGATCCTGCCACCCTGCGAGACTATTATAGTACGGGGCAGAGATTATACCGGAAAAATAAGTTTCAATGCAACGATTCTATTGTTTATGTGTTAGTTCTTCAACAGGTAATGGCCTTACCCCTTTGATATCTAGGTAGCTCTGAGACACTTTGTCTACGTTATCACTTCTGATAACACCTATCAGTATATTCTCTTAGTCACGTCTTAGTCTGATAAGTGAGGCCTGTTTCTCATGTAGTATCATGAGTGATGTTTGTAGGCAAATATGAGTATAGATTCAAGATATAGTATAGGATGGAACTTAATTGGTTACATGAGGGGTCAACTCAGAAGGTCCTTTTTTGTAACGAGATACCAAGGAGTACTATTACAGTTAGCCAAACCTATGCACATACTGGTGTTAAGAGACTACAGTGGTAGGAATGGTATTAGACCAGAGTCTACCAAGTAGACGTACAATTAGTTAGGTACCTCAGTTAGACATGGTATACCATACTAAAAAGTACTTAGGCACCAGTAAGGAGTGGTGGTTACCCTACTCTGTAGGGTAACCAAAGTAGTCAATATAGAAGTTACCCTGAATTGCTCAGTGGTTGGTCGAGGTAGAGTTACCCTACTCCGTAAGGTAAATCAGGGTGCTGTTGTTAGGAGTACCGAGATCCAATATCTAGGAACTACTGTAAGTAAAGTAACCCCACTCGGAATCGGAATCTATGGTATCTTATACCCCTCACAGGCCTCCTGACAGGGCACGTATGTCATCATACATATCGATCTCCATTGTATTCTGTGACTATAATGCCTGATATTTGAAGATGTTGGAGTAATACCATATACGTTGTGGCTGCCTGTCTGACTGGATGTTGTTTGCAGGTTATATGAGAGGAGTCCTTCCTCTAAGTCTCAGAACTGGAATGGACTGAATCTGTCAGCTATCCAGAGAGGTACAAGGCATCAAATATGTGACATCTTTGGAAAGGACAATAGGTAACAGGATATTTTTGTACTGAGATATGGTATCGAATATTAAGGAATCCTTAAGAGGAGCTAATCTATTCAGACCCACTCTTCAATATTTAGAAGAGTCTAAAGCTCCGAGGAATACTATCAAGAAAGCCAATAGATTTCATTGAATAATTCTCAATAATGAAACAACAACGGAAATTGTGTTATCCAAAGTAGCCCAGGGTTGCCAACCAAGCAATTATCATCCAATCTAGTGGAATCATGATATTCAAATTAATAAGAAGTTATCTGGAAGATATCTATTAGTTGGATTCTGAGTTATGGAGGTTTAAAGTAGGCGACATAAGAAGGTTGAATTTAAGACTACTTCTGCTGATGCAACCTGCAGATGTAACTGTTTATTTTATTGATAAAGAAGACAATTGGAGCCAACTCAGTTTGACTTGAGAAATAGACCACAAATCTAATGGCTCTAAAGATCAGATAATTACTATTGGAGACAATATAGTTCCTAAACTAGCAAAATAGTAATTACTGTGGAGGCTGTTGTGGTTTTCATGGTATATAGGTATTTACACCTTTTAAGCATACATAAGGTTGTGAGTTATATCAATAGAGGTACTTAGTTTGTACGATAGATATGTGTAGTTGTTAGGCGGAGACAACCTGATAGATTTCAAGATTGTCTAGGCCAATCAAGATTCGCTTTTGTAGACGGAGATTGTCTAGGAAGGCTTGGACTTGGCTCACTTCGTTTATGACTACTAGGAGCGAAGTAAAGTAGGTAAAGTAGGGTAGAATCATAAAAACAATATTATATTGTTAAGGTCTCTTCTCCATTGCTTGATGATGTCTAAAGCTTGGGAGGTACTTCGATATTTATATTCCACATCTGAGTGTTCGTGGACTACATCTATTTATCATACAACTATGTACTTCTTCTATGGTAATTCGCAACGTCGAGTTTTCTTCCAAGGTGCGAACACCTGGGGACCCTGAAAACCATCACACCCTCTTCAGTAATTATGATATTTCTTTTTAGGAAACGTACTGTACCCAATAGTAATATCCCGATTAGCAGTCTTTAGACTTATAGCCTAGTTCTTAAGTCGAACTGAGTTGGCTCCAATTGTCTTCGCCATTGATAAAATGATCAGTCTTATCCACGGCTATATCTGCAAAGGTGGTCGTCATTACAACCATCATAGGTCATTTGATTCCGATCCTTTGTAACTCCATACCCAATCAATAGATTTTCTTTGGATGACTTCCTATTTACTCACAGGAAGCCACTCCACTAGACTGGTCATTAATCCCTCGGTTGGCAACTCTTGGTTGCTCTCTGGGTAGTAGGTTTCAGTAACTATTGTAGTATTGAGAATTACCCCATGACTACAACGTATTCCAAAACCCAGTTACAACACTCCGTGAAGTTCGTTGGCTTCTTTGATAGTGTCTTTTGGAGTTCTAGACTCTTTTGGTGTATGTAATTGTATAAGTCTCTAGTAGAGATCCTTTACTATTTGATACCATCTCATTGTGCAAAATCGTCCCATTACCTACGGCCCATGCCAAAGGTGTCATGTCTTTGGAGCCTAGTAACTCTCTGAGTAGTTGACGGAATTACTCCGTTCCACTTCCCCGGCCTAGCCGAAGGTCCCCTCTCATAAATCCCGCAAACAGGATCCGGTCGGACGGACAGCAGCGACGTATATGGTGTTATTCTAACACCTTCAATTCTGTGGTAATGTAGTCAGAGGACTCAACTAAGATTGATATATATCATGACGCGCGGGCCCAGTAAGGGAGCCGGAGGGGGGTGTTGGAGACCAGAGATTCCGATTCCAAGTGGGGTTACCCTACTTAGGGTGGTTCCTAGGTATCAGGTTCTGGTATTCCTAACACCCCCATTACAATGAAATGTCTTGTCATTGTTCCACTAGCCATATCCAGGCATGCCAGGCCCCTGTAACAATTATATTCTACAACCAGAATAAGGGAAAAGAACATGTACCCATGCACCTACATGAGGACTGAGCTGATAGCGCCACCACATCATACCAACAAGAACTAAATACTCATTCATGGGGCTGACTGATGAAGAAATCAAGGAACGGGAATAAAAGGCAAAGCACAGTACCATGAGTTTGATGATATACTATGACAATAGATGCACCACCCACTATAAAGACAAAGAAGACATGGGATAGTTCCAGAGAGAATACCAAAAGCATTGTCCATGCTCAGACCATGTGTTAAAGTACTGGAAATAGTGCTTCAACAATACATACAAGAGGCACAGGATGAGAAAGGTATCTGC